ACCTTTTTAATTACTGTTACTACGTAAATATATTACTTAGCTTATTATTAATAAATAATAGGGCAGCTTATCTATCCCGAATTATATAGTAGTTTTCGTATCGAAATTACTATACTAAATTAAGCGCGTATTTAAAGTATATTACGCGTATTATATAGTTAAAAAGTATACTATATTATATAATTTCTTTTAAAAGCCTAATCCCGTTAAAGTTGATCTTTTATATCTATAAAGCCGGAAAAAAACCACTATATATTACTAAATTATAATCTCCTTAATAAAGTAACCCGCCGGGGCCGTATTATATATTATATATTAAAAAAACTAAATATATTGCGCTCTAAACCTAATTACTAATTAAAATTAATTAATTTAATTATTTTCTCTTTTTTATTAATAGCTCCCGACCTTTTATTATTTTTAGCTAATTAAAAGGTAGGCTTTAATTACTTTAATATATATATAAAACCTTTTAATACTAGCTTATATAAATAGTTAAGTTTAATATAACATACTCTTTTTTATTAAAAGTTAGGAGACCCTTTATATAATTCTTTATATTTATAATATAGCTTATATTTAAAAAGTTATTAGCTTTATAAATCATAATTTCTAGATTAATATCGATATATTAAATTTTAATATTTATAAATAAACCCGGTTATTTATAGTACTTATATTATTATTTAGTTAGATTTTATATTATTAAAAGGTATTAAATCTTTTTTAGTATATTTATATTAATTATAATAGCTAGGGTATTAAGGGGGCTTAAAAATTTATCAAGCTTTAAAAGAGGAAACCTATCGAAGGGTATTATTAAACTAATAGTTTATATATTAATAAATTTATTTAATAGCTTATTTAGTTTAAATTAAGTTTATAAATAATATAAAAAGTAATAAAGATAGAAAAAATCTTTACGAGCTCTAGTATAAGTAGCTAAATATTAGCCCTTTTAGCTTTTTTTTTTTTTTAAAAAACTTTTATATTATTATTAAAATTTAGAACTTTTATAACTAAAAAAGGCTACTTCTAATCTTTATAACTAACTTTTATAATTAACTTTTTTAACTATTACCGCTACGTAAAATAGCTTATTTATCTCGATTTATATAGTAGTTTTTATATTAAAATTATTATACTAGATTAAATACGTATTTAGGGTATGTTATACGTATTATATAATTAAAAAATATATTATATTATATAATTTCTTTTAAAAGCCTAATCCCGTTAAAATCGATCTTTTATATTTATAAAGCTAAAAAATACCACTGTCTATATAAGCTAAAATTAAAAGTATTTTATAATAGTAGCGTTATTTTTAAATAATAATAATAAAAGTATCTCCGATATTATTATTATAAACTATTATTATTTAAAGGAACTTTAAACTTAGCTAAATAAACGGCTTATAAAGTAATAGTATTATATACTTAATATTATTATTAATTCATTTATAATTATAAAATTTATAAAAAAGAAAGTTCTAGCACGGTAGTTTAAAATAAAGTAATAAATGTTATTTTTATAAAAGAATAAATAAATAAAGTTAATATTAATATAAAAGTAAGAATATATAAATATATAGAGTAATAAGCGTAATAAAAGAGGTTTATATATATAAAGAGAGTAATATAATTATATTACTATATAAGAAGTTATTTATTTAATAAAAGGTCTAAGTAGGTAAAAAGACGCCTTTATATAGGCATAAAAACCTCTTATTAAGATATTTTATTATTTATTAATTATTATATAATTAATAAGTATATATGTAAGTGATTACGTAATCGAAGTACGTAATAACGTTTTAAATAAATTCTAGAGTATTCTATTACTTTTTAGTATTTTTATAGCTTATATAAGCTTATATAAGTAGTATTACCTATATAATTAATATATATACTAATCTATAGCCCCCCGATAGAGCAATTTACCGGGGCCGTACTATATATTATATATTAAGGAAACTAAGTATATTACGCTCTAAACTTAATTACTAACTAAAACTCTTAACCTTCCGCCGCTTTTAACTATTTAAAGGGCGAGTTTTATTTACTTTAACGTATATAAAACCTCTTAATATTAGCCTATATAAATAGTTAAGTTTAATATAATATATTCTTTTTTATTAAAAGTTAGAGAACCCTTTATATAATCCTTTATATTTATAATATAGTTCGTATTTAAAAAGTTATTAGTTCTATAAAATATAATTTCTAAATTAGTATTAATATATTAAATTTTAATATTTATATAAGCTTAGCTATTTATAATATTTATATTATTATTTAGCCGGATTTTATATTATTAAAGGGTATTATATTACTTTTTTAATATATTTACGTTAATTATAATGGCTAGGGTATCGAGGGGGCCTAAAAATCTATTAAGCCCTAGAGGGGGAGACCTATTAAAGGGTATTATTAATAAAGTAAGTTTTTATTAAAATAGTCGGTTAACTAATTAACCGCTTAATTAGTTATTTAATTTATTATCTATTTAACTAGTAGTTTATATATTAATAGATTTATTTAATAGTTTATTTAGTTTAAATTAAGTTTATAAATAATATAAAAATTAATAAAAATAAAAAAAATCTTTACGAGCTTTAATATAAATAGCTAAATATTAGCCCTTTTAGTTCTTTTTTTTTAAAAAAAAAAACCTTTACGTTATTATTAAAATCTAAAATCTTTATAGTTTAAAAAGGTGTTTCAAAGGTAAATTTACTTACCTTATTATTTGCCTTATTCCTTACATTACGTAAGCATATTATATACCATATTAATCTACAGTCTTTGTAGATTATTATAGGTATTGATTATGTAAGCAATACTGCTTATATAAGCTTACGTGAGCTATAGAAAGTACTAGAAGGTAACGGAATACTCTGGAATTCTCTTAAGGCAGTATTACGCACTACGATTACGTACTACGATTACGCATTTACTTACGTATACGCTTATTAATTATGTCATAATTAATAAGCAATGGAATATTCTAGTAGGAGGTTTTTATACCTATATAAAGGCGTCTTTTTACCTACTTAGACCTTTCGTTAAGTAAGCAACTTCTTATATAGTAATCTAACTATATTACTCTTTTTAAACATATAAACCTTAGTTATTACGCTTATTGCCCCTTATATTCATATATTCTTGCTTCTATATAAATATTCACTTTAGTCATTGTTTTATAAGAATAACCCTTATAACCTCGTTATAAGCTACCGTGCTAGAAAAGGCTATTTCTAACCTTTATAACTAACCTTTATAGTCGACCTTTTTAACTATTATTACTATATAAAAGGCAACTTATTTATTTTAAATTATATAGCGGTTTTTATATCGAAATTGCTATATTAAACTAAACGCGTACTTAGGGTATATTACGTATATTATATAGTTAAAAAGTATACTATATTATATAATTTCTTTTAAAAGCCTAATCCCGTTAAAGTCGATCTTTTATATTTATAAAGCTAGAAAAAAAACTACTATATACTAATCTATAGAAGTTATAGATTAATATAATATATAATATACTTACGTAATCTAATAAATAAAGTAAATAATAAAATAAACAAATTTACTTTTATAATAAAAGTAAAAAAAGTAGAAAATAAAAGATAAATAGTTTATTAAAATAATAAGAGTATTTATTAATACTATATAAACTATATTAAAAATTACCTAAGTAGCTAGTATAAGTAGAACTTTAAAATAAATATATATAAATTAAAATTGAAAGTATATTAAATATTAGTAATATTAACGTTATTTCTAATAATAATAACGAGGGTATATTTAATATTATTATTATAAGCTATCATTACTTAGAGAGCTATAAACTTAGCTAAATAAATATAAGTTTATTTTATTAAAATAGTAAAAGTATTTATTAATACTATATAGTAGTTTTTCTTTTGGCTTTATAAGCGTAAAAAATCGACTTTAATAGGATTAGGCTTTTAATAAAAATTATATAATATAGTATATTTTTTAATTATATAATATATATAATATACCCTAAGTACGCGCTTAGTTTAATATAGTAATTTTAATATGAAAACCGTTATATAATTCGGGATAGGTAAGCTACCCTTTACGTAGCGGCGGTAGTTAAAAAGGTCGACCGTAGAGGTCGGCCGTATTTATTAATACTATATATAGTAGTTTTTTTTTTTTTTTTTTTAGCTTTATAAATATAAAAGATCGATTTTAACGGGATTAAGCTTTTAAAAGAAATTATATAATATAATATACTTTTTAACTATATAATATATATAATATACTCTAAATACGTATTTAATTTAATATAATAATTTTAATATAAAAACTACTATATAATTCGGGATAAATAAGCTATTTTATATAGCGGTAATAATTAAAAAAATTAACTATAGAGGTCGGTTATAAAGGTTAGAGGTAGCCTTTACTAATACTATATATAAATATTATATAAACGATTTCGAGAATTGCCTAACTGATTAATAAAAACAGAACTTTAAAATAAATAAAGTTTATAAAGTAATAGCGTTATATAATAATAATATTATTAAATAATTTATAATTAAGAATTTTACAAAAAGAAAAGTTGAAAAAGTAGAAAATTTAAAAAATAAATTATTAAAATAGTAGAAGTATTTATTAATTTATATATACATACTTTATGAATAATATTAAGAGTCGCTTAAGTAGCTAATAAGAGTAGAACTTTAAAATAAATATAAAATAGCCTTAGTAAATTATATTATTAAAGAGGTTATGCTGTTTTTAATCTTTTTATAGAGTTTTTAATCATAATAAATACTTAAAAAAGCCTGATCTAAAAAAGACTTTTATTAAAAGTAAAATAAACTGTAAATTATATATAATAAGTTAAAGTCACCCGCTTTTATTAAATGCTTTACAAAACTTATATAAAATGATTTTTTGAAAAAGATAATTGCTTAATATTACCTACTTAGGATGTACTGAAGTCTTAATTACTTAGACTTTTGCTAAACCCCAACCTGCTTTAGTAACACGAGAGGCGACTAAGAATGATGTACCTAGAGAAAGACATAGCCCTCCAAAAATAAACGCATATATATACTGACCCCCACCAGCCTTGATTAGAAGTCCGGCCAATGGAGGGCCGGTTAAGTTTGCAAAACTAATAATTGTGTAAACCATTCCCATCCTAGTGCCTGCCTTCTGGAGATCAGTTGTCAATGATGACAAAGCTGCTGGGAAGAGGCCCTGAACTGTAGCCCCAAAGATACCTAGGAGTGTAAAGATAACAGTTAATTTTGTTAAAACGAAATTTATTATCTA